TTACGGCATAAATTTTCACGGACGTTTTGAATTTAAACGTGAATTTCTCCGCGAATATCGATGCTATAGTAATGAAATACATATCATCTTGTAACCAAAAATCAGGGCTTTCGATCTATCTTAGAAACATCTTAGTAGAAAATCACTTCCTGTCACCTAAATCTTGGCCAAAGTTAAAAAATCAAATTTTTCAGGTGGAAATTTTCAGAAATCATGTGATATTTCCATAAATCGATGCCTAATTAAATTTCCTGATGTTGTTACTGATAATGGAAGTAATGTTAAATCAGCTGTATCAAGATTAGGCAAAGATTGTATTCTGTGTGCAGCGTATACTTTACAATTATCAATTAATAAAGAATTAAAAATAGTTAATCCTTTAATAACAAAAATAAAAAGTCTTTTTTTTTTTGAGAAGTGATAAAAAAAGACAACAATTAAGATATGCACAAATTATTTGTAATAAGATTAAAGAAAGTGAAACAATTGAAATTATCAAACTAATTAATATAAGGTGAAGTTCTTTTTATAATGCTTTAGTTCGACTTTATAAATTAAAAAATTCAATTAAATGGTTAGCTAATTCTTTAGAAAATAGTCAATCACATGTTGACAATCATGATTTTAATATAATGAATTAGTTTTTACCCTTTTCAATGGAATGACAAATTATTCAGAGATTGACAAATTTGTTAGCTCCTGCTGAATACGCAACAAAATTATTAGGAGGTGAAAATTATATAACTTTAGCTATTACTATATCAATAATTGAAGAAGTTATACAACATTTTAGAAATATAAAATCATCAAATATGACAATTAACAATATGAGAAATGTAATATTAAATGATCTAATTTCAAGATGGAGTATTCCTAATAATTTTGGAACTATTGCTTCATTTTTGGATCCTCGCTTTAAAAAATTGACATTTTGTTCATCAGTAAGTATATATTGTTAATTAAATTTTTAATTATATATTATTTAAATAAATAATTTATATAATATTTAATTTTTATTTAGACAACACGTGAAACTGTGTATAATAAAGTTCAAGAAGAAATTCAAAATTTATCATCATCTGATGAAATTCAAATTTCACAAGATATAGATAATTCATCTTTAATGTTTACATTTTTTTCTCAGTTGTCAAATACATCCAATGTAGAATCTAGAAGCAATTCAAATGAACTTGAACGATATTGTCAAATTGAAAATTTATTAATTCATGAAAAAAATGATCCCTTAATTTGGTGAAAAGCAAATTGTAATTTGTATCCCAATTTATCAATATTGGCTCAAAAATATTTATCAATTCCTGCTACTTCTGTACCATCTGAAAGATTATTTTCAGATGCAGGAATTCATGTAACTTCTCTTAGAAATAGGTTAGATCCACATCTAGTTAATCAAATTCTTTTTATTAAGCAAAACAAAAAATATTTAAAAATGTTTCCTTGATAATTTTAAATATTTTACATATATTTTTTTTATATTGGATCAATTAATAATAATATCTACTTATAATATCTAATATTATTAATATCTGGATATCTTCTTAATAAAGTTAATTAAGGAATAATCAATTAATTATTATAATATTTGCAATGTTAGAAAAATGATTCAAATATAATTATAAATTAAAAAGTTGATATTAAAAGTGTATTAATTTTAATGTCATTTTTATAGAAGATGCAATTTATTCTTGAAGTTACTTAGTACCATTTTTGACATTCATCATATAAAAAGTTTTATATGTGACAATGATCAACGATATAATTAATAACTGATTATTTTATATATATTATAACAATTATATATAAAATAGTCGATCGTTGTCACATATAATACTTTTTATTTTATAAGTAAATATTAAAAACGATACTAAGCAACCTCAAAGATAAAAATTTATTACACTTCCTGTAAAAATTACAGATCAATTCCATCAAAATTGAGCGAATAATAGTTATTTTAAATATTTTTAGACATTTGAACTTTAAATGCTAATCATTCTCTCAATTTCAATGAAATAGATATACCGTTTCTACAGAGTATGCAATTCATTCTTGTCTTTAAGATTACTTAGTGTCACTTTTGATATTATCTTATAAAAATAAAAGTTTTATATGTAGCAGCGATTAATAATTATTTTCGATTTTAATTTCATAATAAACTCAGCGATTAATCGCGATTCTGGACTCACGATTATAATTGTGATTCTGAACTCGGCGATTAATTGAGATTCTGGACTCACAATTATAATCGCGATTCTGGACTCGGCGATTAATCGCAATTTTAGACTTGGCGATTAATCGCGATTAATCGTTGGCCAATAGAGACAATTAATCGAGTCTAAATATTAGGGTGATTCTTAACCCTATATATTATTATATAAAATATTTTTTAATTTAAAAAAATTAAATTTATAAAAGTGATCAATATTAATGTCAATTTTCTAATTAAAAATATCTTCTTATGTTGATTTCTGAAATGACTACTGATTAATAAGAATATTGATTTCATTATTAACTTTTCTTTAATAAGAAAAAAATATATTAAAATAAATAAAACTATAATTTGTTATATGTAATAATAAGAAAAATATTTTGATATTACATCAGAAATTTTATAGAGATGTTTTAGTATACTATAATATAAAATATTAAAATAATGTATTAAAAATATTAATTTTAGTATATTATAAATACAAAAAATTTAAATAATATACTAGAATATTATATTCTAATATGTTATAAATATAAAAATATTTAAATAACACATTAGAATAGTGTATTTAGTATGCTATTAATATGAAATGTTTAAATAACACACTAGAACATTGTATTCTAGTATGTTAGTACTGTTTAAATAATACTATAGAATGGTATTCATATAGTATTATAGAATGTTTTTATTTAATTTCTAATGTAAGTAAAAAATATATAAATTCAAATAATTGTTTAATTACAATTTATACTTTACATGCTATCTAAATTCAGAAAAAAAAATATTAACAATAGGATTATAGGTGTTATCCAAATTTCAAATCCCAAATTCCAAATCTCAAATTCCAAATTTCAAATTCCAAATCTCAAATTCCAAATTTCAAATTTCAAATCCCAAATCCCAAATTTCAAATTTCAAATTTCAAATTCCAAATTTCAAATTCCAAATCTCAAATTCTAAATTACTAATTACTGAAATTCCAAATTCCAAATTATGCCAAATCCCAAATTTCAAATATTATAAAAACTGAATTTTGACAATTGAAATATTAAAATAATTTGGGATTTGGGTGATATATATAAATAGGATTAGTAAAATTTTATTGTTAATATTTTCTTTTATAAATTTAAATAACAGATAGGATCTATATTAAATTTTAAATTAGAGAAAAAATTATGATAATAATATCATTGTGATTAATAATTAAGTGTTGTTTTAGTACATTAAAAGAAATAAATTATAAACTATTGTAAATTGAATATTAAATATAGAAGAAAAAATTCAATATAATCATTTTGGTCACCTTTGTATTTATAAAATAAAGTAACAAATAAAATAGTTTTTTGAACATACTTAAAATGACTTTTGTTAAATATGTTTATATAAATGTTCTATTAAATTATATTATAATTTTTATAATATCAGTAAAGCTAAAAAAATCAAAATATACTTGATATATTTTTATACCTTCTAATTTATAAGATTACCTTGATTAATTAGATCTCCTTGAAAAACTCTGTTATAAAAATTTAAGTCATGATTATAAATATGATTTTAAAATTTTTCTGAGTTTTAAAATACTGCAGTTTTGAATAAGTATCTAATTATTTACAAATAAATGACATTAAAATAATACTTTTAGACATGATAATATGATAAGGTTTAATTATACAATAAAACTGAAAGTTTGTTATTTCCAAGAAAATAGTTTTAATTAGTTAAAATGATTATCAAATCAAATGATTTTACTAATAAATATTATTTAATATTTAAGTCATTTTTTTAAAAAAAATCAAAAAAAATAATTATCTAAATGTAATATAATTACTTTTCCAATCTATAATATTCTAAAGTTGTCATAAAGTCATCATCTAATATTTCACAATATAATTCAGTATCTAGATCTCCATTAATTTTTCACAAGTATCTTATTCCTTTTGCTGTAAAATATTTCCATACAAAAATACTACAAATTATTATTTTATTTAATAATCAAAAACATTAGTTTTTGAAAAGTCACAGGTACATAAGTTAAATTAAAGGGTATAACTGTAAATTTGTATATCTTTTGTTCTTTTGTTTGACAATAAAAGTTGTTTTATTCTTGCTTTTAGGTTTTACTTTAATTTGTCAATATTCACTAATCAAATTAAGAGTTATAAACTATTGAATTTCTTAAAGTACATTTAATATATTATCAATTTTTGATATAAGATAAGTTATAAGTACCACCCAAATTCAAAATGCTAAATTCCAAATTCCAAATTCCAAATTACTAATTGCCAAAATTCCAAATTCCAAATATTATGAAAACTGAATTTTGGCAACCGAAATATCAAAATAATTTGGAATTTGGATGACATGTATAAGATAGATATTTTTTTTCATTATCTACACAAATTAATTTTTGTTTTTCTTTTTTTACAATTATAACTGGAAAAATCTAATGACTTTTTGATGTCACAATTAATCCTTTTTTCAATATTTTATCTATTTTTTTACTGATAAAGTCATCCATGATTAAAGAAGGTTAATAAAATTGCTATTTAATTGGAGCAAAGTTTTCTGTATCAATTTGGTGTTGATTTTTATTTGTTTATCTTTTTTATTTCAATCTTGAGCAAAAAGTATACTTAATTTTGGAAAAAGAAGTCAAAATAGTTTTACTTAATTCAAAAAATTTTGATTACCCAGATAAATTCTTTGATTAAAAATACATCTAACTAGGTACTTATATATAGAATAGATTTTCAAAAAGTTGAAATAATTCCAAAATCCAAAATTGATTTTGGAAATAATATTAATTTTTCTTAATTAATTTATTAAATTACAACTTTGTTTACCAAATGTTTAAAATCTTTTTTTTATAATATCATGCTTATTTGTAAATATTCTTGTCAAAAAAAATTATTGGTTTTCTTATGTGATTGTTTTACTTGATTATTTGATTAAATCAAATAAAATTAATTAGAATATAAAAATTTGAATTGGTAAAAATAGGTAAACTTGAAATATATAACAAAATTATTTTTTGCCCTTTGTTAACATTGCCTTAATAGTAATGCATAATAAGAATAATAATAGGATATATGGTATATAAAATTTCTTAATATTTGAATTTTATTGAAATTATATTTTTTCAAGTATTACAATTTAATTTTTTAGGTATTGTGTATTTTATTATCTTATAACAGTTACAATAATAATATTGGTGACAATTTAATTTTTTTTAGGTATTGTGTATTACTAAAAGTAGAATCCTATTCACTAAATCATGATGTCAGACGATTTATCATTGTCCGCAGCTACCAAGAATTTAAAATGAAACGTAATATTATTGTCCAAGAAGATCCAAGAAGCTACGGATCTTCTTGGATCGAAATTAGCCAATTTTTTTTCATTCTGAATCAACGTTCCCCTTCTTTTTCATGAATTAAGTTTTTTTTGATGTACTAAGGGTTAAGGGTAAATAATAAAAAATAGTATAAAAAAAAAAATTCCAGTCGTACTAAACAATAAAAAATAGAATTAGTGTTTCACTACCGATTCTCTACACAAATTTCGATTTCTTTTTTTAGGATAACTTTTGATTTGTACACAAAACTTATTATGCTTATTATGCTTAGATATTGAACAGTCTTGAAGTATTATATATAGATATTCAATTAACATATCTTGCATTGTTCTTTACGATTCTTTATGATAAAAAAAAAAAAATTCAAAAAATAACTTTTGGTCGTTTGAAAAAAAAATAAAAAATAAAAAATTAATGATCTTGGAATGATGTAATAAATTATGGAAATTTTAATCGTTGATCAAAAATGTCAAATATATTAAATATATTCAAATTTCAGGAAAACAATCAGGAATATACCATTTTAATAAATGTAATATTGATTCATTGAGACTATGATGACTATTATTAGTTTATTATTATCACACTAAGATTTTTTTCATTTCACGAAATTTATGCCAAGATCTAATCCGAAGGTCTTGTATAAAAAATTTCCAAGATTACTTAGATTATTTAGATTACTTTTGAAGGCGATATTGACGATTTGTGAAGCAATTCAAATGATAACATCTGATCATACATGATTACTTGTGGCACGAGTTTGCCACACAGTTTCCCAACGTCCATAAAAGACCTTCTTCATCCATCAGAGTTGTATTTGAGTATCCATCTGTCCCACCTACTATAACACATCCAATTCTATATCTTACCTACCCCCAATTTTTTTTTTCAATATTCGCTGTCCATATTTTATATAAAAAGGTATTAGATTGCTTCTATTATTTTTTTATTCTGAATTTTATTCACTTGCTTTTAATTTATTGGTATTGTAATCTTGAATGAAAATGTCTTATGTCACGACGAAAATCTCATTTTAATAAACTTCCTTTTTTATGTAATCTATTAGTAAACTCATATATAATATTTAATTACCATGGAAGACGAAGTAGCCGCCGTAAGTGATTACTTTATATATTATTTTTAACTCTCGAGTTTTATATTGTCGTCTATGCGATGACCTCGTCATCGAATACCGTTTGTTTTATTATTGATATTAAGAGTCATCCTTAATTTTTTTTTTTTTTCGTTTTTACATTCAACCTCCCATCTCTATATATAATAGCTCGTTATTGATAATGGTTCTGGTATGTGCAAAGCTGGTTTCGCAGGAGACGATGCACCCCGTGCTGTAAGTGAACTTGAATTTTTATAATGCGGATATTATTATTTTTTTTATTAAATGACCTTGTGTGATCGCATGGTGATAAAAATCATCCGAAATATATTTTTTTAAATGTAAAATTGTAATATATAAACAATATATGAATTCGTGTTAATCAGAGAAATCATGAAATTCATGACAATTTCAACAGAATTAATGAATTATATTTGAGAAAATGTTCTAACTTTAAAATATATTTGATCAAAATTATTAGGTTTTTCCATCCATTGTAGGACGCCCTCGTCATCAAGGTGTCATGGTGGGGATGGGTCAAAAAGATTCATACGTTGGGGACGAAGCACAATCCAAGAGAGGTATTTTAACACTCAAATATCCAATTGAGCACGGTATCGTGACAAATTGGGATGACATGGAAAAAATTTGGCATCATACATTCTACAACGAACTTCGTGTTGCACCCGAGGAACATCCCGTGCTTTTGACTGAAGCACCACTTAATCCCAAATCTAATCGTGAAAAGATGACTCAAATTATGTTTGAAACTTTCAACGCACCTGCTTTCTATGTTGCCATTCAAGTAAGTTACATTTTACTTAATTTGTACAACGATTCAATATTTTTATTTTCATGAGTTTGCTAAATTTTAATTTTAATTTTAATTTTTTTTTTTTTTTTTGAATTAGGCCGTTTTGTCATTATATGCTTCTGGTCGTACGACTGGTATTGTTCTTGATTCTGGAGATGGTGTTACTCACACTGTACCCATTTATGAGGGTTACGCCCTTCCACACGCTATCCTCCGTCTTGATTTGGCCGGTCGTGACTTGACGAACTACCTCATGATTATTCTTATGGAACGAGGTTATTCATTCTCAACTACGGCTGAACGTGAAATTGTTCGAGATATTAAAGAAAAACTATGTTATGTTGCCTTGGATTTTGAACAAGAAATGCAAACGGCAGCTCAATCATCGACTGTGGAGAAATCATATGAATTGCCAGATGGACAAGTCATTACTATTGGAAATGAACGGTACATATTAATTTTCGTAATTGATTAATTCTGTTTATATATCAAACTTATTTTAAATGTTTTTTCTTAAACTTAATTTTAGTTTCCGTGCACCAGAAGCTCTCCTCCAACCTTCATTCTTGGGTCTTGAGGCTCCTGGTATTCATGAGACTACTTATAACTCCATCATGAAGTGTGACGTCGATATTCGTAAAGATCTTTACGGAAATATTGTGCTTTCTGGGTATGTGATAATATTTATTTTTTATATATTTTTAATAAAATATATATTTATATTTTTCAAAATATTTAATCAATTTAATCCTTATATTCCTAACATCCGTATTACCTTTTATATTACTATTACGCAGAGGTACCACTATGTATTCTGGTATCGCTGAAAGAATGCAAAAAGAAATCACAGCGCTAGCACCATCTAGTACGTTATAATTTTTTATTTTTTATTTTTTTAATGTTTAAATCATGAATAATAAATATTAATTTTTGCAATTTTTGTATTATTTTTATCCTAATTTTCCTAATTTTCCTAATTTACAAATCAAACAGGCATGAAAATTAAGGTGATTATTTGAATTTTATTATTTTTAAAAAAAATTTTTTATTCATTTTAATTTCTTTAATAATTTTAATATTTCTAACATTTATAATAATATCTACGAATTTCAATCAGATTGTTGCACCTCCAGAACGTAAATACTCTGTTTGGATCGGAGGATCAATTTTAGCATCAGTACGTATTATTGTTTGAATATTAATAATAAATTTCAATTTTAATTAATAAATAAATAACTAACATTTTTATTATTTAATAATAATTTAGCTTTCTACATTCCAACAAATGTGGATCAGCAAACAAGAATATGATGAATCTGGTCCCTCCATTGTCCATCGCAAATGTTTCTAGACAAATTGTATACTTATTTTATTGTTATTATAATTATTATTATTATTGTTTTATGATCACTTAAAGTTTTAAGGTTTAAAGGGTTTCTTTCTTTTTTTTGACATATTAAAATTTTCAGCCAAAGTTAGGCCAAATAAAAAATAAAAATAATTTATGAAAATCAATCATCAAATATATATATTTTAATTATATTTTAAATATTTTGTCTTTTTGAGTCACATCCAATTTGTATTACCTTTTTCCAAATAAATTATTTTTTTATAACGATGCATTGATTTAATATTTTTTAATATTTAATATCTACTAATGCTAATAAATTAATAATGAATTATTTAATTAGTTTATAAATTTATTAACTGCATAATTGCGTTTATCACAATGCATATATATATATATATATATATATATATAGCTAATTAGTGGATCACTGTATTCAAATTAAGTTTAACAGGGTTTTGATTTTTCTTTCTTAAATCACATGTAAAAATCAAAATAATTTTTATTCTGTTCGTTTTTTCTTCCCTAAAATTACAATTATATATATATATATATATTTTAATTTTAAAATAAACTATATAATACAATTGGAATTGGAATAAATTTAATTAATAAATTTAATTACTCATTTAACATTCGAATTATAATTAGAAATATTCAAATATTATATCAATACAATATTTCATTATAAAAAATATTGAATAGAAATTCATAATAAACTGCCACCTGACACATTGTTCATTGAATGTTGTTGAAATTGATTGAGAGAGTGTGGTACATCATTTGAATCTATGGAAGATTGAAAAATGGCTGAAGAATCTTGAATTTGTTGAAATCCTGGAGACATTGAAAGTCTTCTAAAAGGATTACTATCTATAGGTATTAATGAATTATTTTGCATATTTGATGATGAAAGTTGTTGTTGAAATTGATTAAATTGATTAGCAGAATTCAAAGAATTCAAGGAATTCAAAGAATTCACAGAATTCATAGTATTCATAGAATTCACAGAGTTCATAGAATTCACAGAGCTAAAGGGATTTGTTTGATTAGATTGAAGTGATTGAAGTGATTGAAATGGATTGTGTTGTCCAATTGTTGAAACTGTTGAAACTGTTGAAACTGTTGGTGTAACATTAGGTGTCTCCTGAATAAACATTGTTGAACGAAATGGATTGGTATCTTGATTAAATGTAATTTGAGGTGCCTGTGGCTGATTAACTGAAAAGGGATTAATACCACCACCATAATTTATTGAACTTTGAGCAGAATATTGATTATTTAAATTATTATATGGATTATATGGATTTACAAATAATAATGTCTGTTCTTGTTCAATACTTGAGAAAAAGTCAAAATCAATTTTTGGAGATTTGGTCGTAACAGTATTATTATTATTATTATTATTATTATTGTTGTTGTTGTTGTTGTTGGTATTTGTAGATTTTTCCGTATCTATTTTGAAAATAATCAAATAATCTTTAGAATAAAACAAAATAAAAAGTATGAATCATTAAACATTAAGATATTTATATTTACTTGTATTTTTTTGTATGCTTTTGCTTTTAGGTACATTGTCAACTGAATTCGCTTGTTTATTATCGTTCTTTATTTGATTTTTATTTTCTTTAGAACGGCGGTATACTTCTTTATTGAATTCAAAATCTGGGTCATTAATATAATCTTCGAGTGCAATTGTAAGTGATGTCGGTGCCTATATTTGATGTGTGTATATTTAGATATATTTATATGTATTAATAAATTTATTCTATATTCAAGAAAATAAGATGAATAATAATAATAATAATTATCTAAGCTTACATGTTTAAGGTTCATTCCAGAAATAATTGACAAGCCTTTAGCTGCACCAAGAAAATCAACTACTTTTTCAGTTTGTTTAACAAATGTTTTATAAATTTGTAAAGCATCTCTTGCATCTATCTTTGACATTTCCATATAATGTTCTATTAAAATAAATAAATAAATTTATTTATGATAAATAATAAATAATTTTTAATTTGTTTTAATTACAATAATATGATTGTAATACTATTTATTATATTTACCTAAAACATTAATTACACCTTCATTAATTGCTTGAAAAAGTGATATTAAATCTTTCACAATAAGGTTAAATGCATATAATGTTACTTCATTGGATAATGCTGCTTCTAAAAAGAACTATATAAAAAATAATTTCAATCACTGTTTTCAAAGGCCAAAAGATTATTATGTGAGATATTTAACTTTGAATTTAACAACCCAAATTTAATTACAAACCTTGCACAGTAATAATGCATTCATTTGTTTTTGCACTATTTTAACCTCACGAAGAAGTCCTTTTGCGACTGTAAGATTTCGCAAACGACCAATTCCGTTATTCTCTGATAAAACTGAAATATAGTTTATTTTCAAATCTCGATAAACTTCTATACTTTCTTCTAGATATTTAGCATAAGAATGAATATTTTTTGTTTGTTCTATTCCTAAATAAGTTTACATGTTTAATAAAATTTTTTTAAAAAAAATATATATAATTATTTATTTCAGAAAAAGAAAAATTATATGTATATATAATTTTTAATATATATTTAAATACCATATCCCGATCTGGACCTATCTCCTCTATAGCTTGACACATTGAGAATAGTTGGTTCATTCATCAAATATATTAAGGCACGATTATGACCTTGACTTATTAAGATATGGATTACGATGAGACTTTTGAAAACTACCTTTTAAATAAAATAAAAAATTTAAAGTTAATAAAAAAATATTTTATAATTGGTTTAAAAAATTAGTTATTAAATTAACTTACTGTCCATGAATGTTCCTTCAACCGATTATTAAGGCATTTTAAAACCAAATCAAGACTGTCGTCATGTGTGGTAGCTGAAATTAAAGCTAAAAAACAAAAAGGGAATTAGGTAAGAACAATAAGAACGATAATAATATAAACTTATTAAAACAAAAAAAAAAAAACCCCCTTACCGTCTAAATATTTTTGTTTTGGGGCAGCACGTTTAGATTTGGTTGCTCCACGAACTGCTTTTTCCATTTTCTTTTTCTATTTTGGTTTAGATCTAAAATTGTAAAGAAATATTTTTTGTTTCGGAATATAATGATCACATGTATTTAATTAATTTAATTTAATCAATATAATCACGTGGTTTAGAGACTCTTTGGACGTTTCTTTGTGTGCGTAAACAGATAATTCATGTGATGAATAATTTCCTTCTTACATTTTCAATGACTTCCAAGACAATTTAACATTGTCAAATTCCAAGTATACTAAAGTACATTATGCACATGCGGTCACAAAAAGTATCTTCAATAATTTCCTTCCGATATTCAAATGATAAAATAAAAAATTAGGTAGTTTTCGAATAACTTTTTTTAAAAAATAGTTATCATTTTTTTTTTTTTTTTTTTTTTTTTTTGTTCCGAGTTCCCCAAGAACGCCGATTAACCGAATAAGAAAAAGATACCTCAATGTGGAAATTGACTTCTTTTTGTTTGACCACATGTTTAGAATAATAAACTATACAATAAACTGTAATAAAACCATAATAACTACAAATAAAAACGTCCGTGAATGTGCCTCAAATTCTGATTCGATGAACATACTTGTGTGGATCCTCAATAAACCAAAAATAATGTAGGTTTCTGAATTTCCCCCTTAAGCTCATCATACACTGAGCATTATAAAATTTTCTTTTATATTTCGGTAACGATATAATTATTATTAAAATAGATAGAATAATTTTATTCATAAGCTTTCTATCTTACCTTTATAAGTTTTTGAAACTATTTAAGTCGGCAAGATTAAGTAGGTTTAAAACCTAATGCTTATTATTTGATTTTTACATTTTGGTTCGCATTGCCGACAATATATAACTAAAACAAGTGAAAAGAATATTCTTTTTATTAAGACTCCAAAAATACAAAATAATAGAGTGGAGTCTATCTTTTTAGTCTTATAATAATTTAAAAAATTCACAGCGGAATTACATAAAGGCGCAATAACGTTAACGATTCTCTAAAATATTCGGTTGTATTACATACATGATGTCGCCAACCCAAGCTATTCATTTACCAAGTCCGCATCAAATTTTAAACGAAAATTACGAACAAGCTTCGCCTTCTAATTCTTTATCTTATCATAATAACGGGACTGGTTCTTCTTCTAATTCTAATATAAATAACCACTCAACTTCTCAGAGTAAGTGTCTCTCAAGTCATACTTATTGGAGAGAACGATGAAAACTTTTTCATATCTTCACATCTTTTGTATCTTGTTTTTGTCATGTTATTTCGAGTATTTCCTGACGAACAAGAAAAGAACAGGGAAAGCGGGAATTATCAAAAATAGCAATTTTAATTTATTACGTAATTTATAGTATATCACTAATTTTTTGCATCACTATTTTAATCACTTATTAAATAATAATATTATTAAGATCCACAGTATACAAATCTGAATCGACCCCATTCACCTTCGCCGTTATCAATGGAATCCCCGATGTCGGAATCAAAATATTCATTTCCTAATCCGACTCCTCCTCATGATTCAAAATCAATTACATTCAAATCATCCAATGATCAAAATATGTCCGTTTCATCAATTCCTTCTCCAACTTCCGATCCATTTCCATCACGTTCTCTTGCTCCACTTGAACCCCAACATTCTGCTATACCGCCTTATCTAACTGCTCAACGAAGGGGTTCTATTACTGATCCGTCTCTCCATATGTCAGTTCCGAACCCAGAACTTGCAAGACAATATTCCCAACCAGATGTTAATTTTCCTTCAACAACTGTTTCATCCGAACGTAGAGGATCATTTGTGACGGATCAATATCCACATTCACCATCTTCATCTATATCACGTCCTTCTTCTGTAAAAAGTGATCAATCTTTCGCTCCTCTAGAAACACGCAAACTTAGGGATGCATTACCATCAATCAGCGCTGGAGCGAGTCCAATTAGGGATGGTTTTCCGGGTCCATTAATGAACCCCGCATTTCAATCTCAATTACAACCACGACGTCATTCAATTGCTGTTGGTGAAGTGGTTGCACCTCTCAAAAGAAAAAATAATATTGGAGTTCCTGCTCCAAATCATCCAATTATGCCTGATGATTATCCCGTCAAACGAAGAGAATCTGTCGGGGATCCAAATATACAACGATTGTCATTGTATGATCGTAGAAATTCTTATTCTGCCCCATCAAGTCCTCCAGCGAGTAGCACATCAAAACTTAATGCACATGATGTGAATAATAATTTACAAGCTCATGCTGAATCGTGTTCAATGTCTTCTCAATACAATGATAATATTTCAGACCATCCAGGAGCAAGTAATATTTCGACAGGTCACCTCCCTGAACAAAACGATACAACACTTTCCTATCCTCATTTTAATAATTCGCGTTTATCACAAATTGTTCAAGAAGAAGTTAGCGCTCCCATATTGGCTAGACGTGCTTCTATGCCTGTTATGGCTTTTCCTTCACGATTTTCGGATCCCGCTCAACAAGATGGTGCTATGCCAATGGATGTTGATCGCTATCGTACTCAAATTTATCCACCACCTCATCACCCTACATACCATCCTTATGCTTATGACTATCCTAGTTATGGTCAATCTCAAGCTCCTGTAAAAGAAACCCCTTATTCACGTTCACCTGAATTAAGGATATCCCATAAGTTAGCTGAAAGAAAAAGAAGAAAAGAAATGAAAGAACTTTTTGATGAACTTAGAGATTCATTACCAGTAGACAAGAGTTTGAAAACCAGTAAATGGGAAATATTGAGTAAAGGTAAATTTTGTTATTAATAAATGCAATAATTCATATTTTTGTAATAAATTTTTAACAAGTATTTAATGATATGTTTTTTTTTGTGAATAGCCGTGGAATTCATTAACAATTTGAAACACAATCAAGATGAAATGTCCAAAGAAGTTGAATCGCTAAGACAACAGATTGCTGTTTTAAAGAACAGGTAGGATAATATATTAGCATTTGTTTCTTAAATATTTCTTCAAGGTAGCCAACATTAAAAAAAAAAAAATTTTTTTAATTATTTCAATAGTGACTCCAGCACAACACCGACATCATCGTAATATAGATGTTAAATAATTCGTTGAATAATTGAAAAAAAAAATTATTCATAAAGAATTTCAATTTTGGTTATTTATTTGTCATTACTTATACATTACTGTATCATATGTTTTGAGAAAAAATTCTCCTCTCCACCCTCTTTTTTTTTGTACATTTTCCTTTTTTTACATGACAATTCAGTATATATTTCCCTTCCTTTCCTTTTTTTCCCGAATGTAATTACTTTGGTTATTCTTTTTTTTTTCCTAGGTTTATAGTGATCACTAAATGATTAAATATCAATAAGTGATTTTATGTTTCTTTATTTCGACCATCTTCATTCGTTTGGAATGAAGAACATTTTTATCTATTCTCAAATTAATGAATTTGATTTTAAGAAATTACGTTAGAAGAAATTAGGTATAAGCTGTCTACGAAGGTTCATTGGTAATAATTCAGACAGCTTTAGATTATTTATTAAGTGTATTATATCTGATATGCTATAAATACAGTATATTATATGTTAAATATAAAACAAATTTATAATAAAATCTAAGAATGGTTTTCAAAAATAAAATCATGAAAAATCGAAGAATGAAATTAATGAATATTATTTTATTGAAAAAAAAAATACTGAAATATTTGATTATTTATTTGTATTTTTTTGAACAAATGAAAAGATGACGAATTTTACATATATTTAATAATAAATGAAAAAAAAATAAATATACACAGTCTAAAAACCAAAAAAAAAAAAAAAACGGGTAAAGGTTTATTCTACATTTATAGTCATAAATTATAATTTGTATAAATAAGTTGTTCGATTATTTATATTTGACTTTCCTGAATGTTCAATCAGTCTATGAGACATGATGAAATTGATCAATCTGGCGTAAATTGAAAACGAGGTTTAAGTAAGAATGCTCCTAATATCTACAATTGTGGAAAATGGCATTATCAATTGCAAGAAATTGCGATTGATACCTTTGAAATCCAGTCCATCATATCCTGTTTCGAAAAAGCTTGCAACATATATGCATTGTTGTTGGTATAAATAGAAAAAACGTTTTGTCGCTGTAGTACAATATAAATAAATAATAAATTAATTTCAATGATCAAATAAAATAAACAAATAATGGCTTACATATTAATAAATAAAAAAAAATTAATTATTTAATTACTTGTAACATGTTCTCTAAAGAATTATTATTATAATCAACTCGAACAGATGCAAGATTTATTACTCCTTGCTCTTCTGTTTCTTTTTGAGATTCATAAATAAACAAGTATGGTCTGTAAAAAAAAAAAAAATTATTTACGAAAAGCAAAATTATCAATTTTTTTCTAATTAAATAATTTTAAATTATTTTATTGAGCAAAAATTATAAAAATATTTAAAAATATCAAACTTCTATGAACGTACCTTCTCAAGACGTACCAACGCTTAATCCAATAATCACCGGCATTCTCCGGAGTAGATAGATACCCCTTTTTAGTTATTGTATCACTGAAAAGAATAAGACTTTGTTAGATACAAATTAGAATATTAAAATGTTTGAATGATACGTACGTCTTTGCGGCCATTCTAACTTGCGCAACTAATTTAGTTGGTTGTATTTTTTTGCATGTATCGTCTTGATGTGGTCCTGAAAGTGGCGGTTCTTGATTTATTACAATCTAAAAATATAATTATATATATATATATATATATATATTGATATATATATATTTAATGTATAATTTCACAATAAAACGTAATAATTAAGGAATATTGACCTCTTTTGATGTTCCCCATTTCTTTCTCCAAAGTGTTATGACTTTTTTAGCTAAGTCATCCTTTTTAGCTAAATCATCCTTTTTAGCTAAATCATCCTTTTTAGCTAAATCATCTTCGTTAGAACTACATTCAGATTTAACTTCAGCCGAAGAACTATAACGAGCCTCATGTAATTCAAGAATTTGCTTTGTACATTCAACGGCTTCTTTTCTACGAATAAGTTCACTTGTTTTTTTATAGTCCTTAACTAACGAAACCCCTCGAGGTTTCCAATCATCCAATATTTCTTGCCCTCGTACATATTTATGTTCAGTATTTAATCGCCAAAGTTCGGAAACTTTGCGTGTCATTGGAGGTTTGAGTATAATTGAAAATAGTCCACTAGATTTTGTTAAAACTTTTGATTGATTTAATAATTGAATCAATTTTGAAGGTGGTCTTGCTTCACGACCTTGGATTTGCACGGCAATATCCATATTAAATGAAACTGGTTCTATACATTTATCTGCTTCGACACACCATTTAAGTCCTAACAGTACGCGACTATTGGAATGTGTCGTTCTATTAAGAAAGATAGAATCATGTAAAGTACTATCCCATGAAGCTTGAGCAATTATGACGCTAGTACCATCTCTATTAAATTGAACATTTTGAGCTGGTAATAAGTTCATTTGTACATCATTTTGAACTGGAGATTCTGATAATCGACCTTTTCCATCAAGTAATCGCACTTGACCAATTTCCATCTTTGTTACTCGGCTCCATTGAAATTGTCGACCAGAATTATGAGTTAATGTGAGTACAATACGACGTTGAAGTCCTTGCCTTAAGAAAAATGCACCTGGATCAAGTGAATTCTGGGAAAGAACTTGAACTGGTACGTATTCTCCACTGGGGGCAAGTTCACAAACTTGAACCCATGCTACGACATCATGTTTTTCTTCAGCGACTAATTCATCTTCCGAACGTCTCTCTCTGGGAACCGAAGGTTCATATGTGTCATTACCATTAATTCCTCTACAAATCGATAGTTGATTATCCCATTGTTCCATATCATTTAAGACGGCGGGTTTCGTACGACCGAATACCTCAAATGCAAGAGTACCATTAGTAAGCACTTCTAACATATTAGGTGAAACGACCATTTTTAGAGGTTGTTCAAATTTAAATGCAATTGGGTCATTTCCAAAATCACTCATAAGCTCAGTGGAATATATACGTTCATCTTGTGACATAGGTAGAACATTTCCAAAGGACGATAACTTAAATTGTACATGAACTTGAGTAAACATAGATTCTTTAATTCCAGAAATCTCTATTATTTTAATCTCAAAAATAACATGACTATTAATAGACAAAGTTTTAGATAATTCATTAGGTCTATCTATTGCAAATTCGTTTGATTCTTTTGGCATGTTTGAATCGTTTGGTATTTCTTCTACAAGGAACTTAATTCGAACGCGGCAATGTCCCATTATATCACCAGAATATCTACGAATAATAGGAGCATCAGTCTCATGTTCTGTTTTCCAATGCAAGCATGATAACCCTACTGAGGCATTACCAATAAAAGTGAAATATGGGCAAGGGTTTTCATAAAATGGATCTTCCCAATTAAAATGTTTACTATACTGTGGACGATCAACATAGTTGTATAAATTACGCATCTTTTGTAAACGGGCCTTAAGTTTATCAAGTGACCACACATATACTACATTATTTTTAGTGTCGATTACTTTAACACCGATAGAAGGTTTTTTACAAATGAATAATGAAGTGTCCTCATTATTATTATATTGGTTAAGTGCGGAAGTACTTTCCCAAAATGAAACAGGATTGGTATAAGGTTCATCTTCAATGACTGTGAATTGATAAAGAATTTTTTTTCCAAGTTCCTTACTTATAACATTGGCTTCTTTTAATATTACAGCGTTACTCAGTATCGTTTCAGCCATCTGAACGAACCTTTGGCGTTTCCACCTTGTAATTGCCATATGAATAAGGCGTAATTCTTCTTCAGTATAAGATGGATCATCTGATGGTAATTTATAATCTTCATGAGACATTAGAGATTGTCTTTTCATTTTCCTTTGAAATTCATCTTCTCTTAACCTTTGCATTTCTTCCTGAACCATTTTTAATTTTTCTTCCATCTGTCTTTTTTCAGCTTTCAATTCATCCGTTTCAAGATTTGATTGTTCAAGGAAACTCATTTTCTCTTCATATGCTTGTCTTTGTTCATCGAGTTTTTGTTGCATTTGTTCTTTGATATGTTTAATTGTTTCGGATTCTTTGACATTTTTACTTGTATCCGATTCTTCTTGGGAAGAAGTACCATCAGGACTGGCTTTACCCGAAGATTCACCTTCATCATTAAACTCACAGTTAATACTATTTCGACTTTCAGGACGACATTTTCGAGCGGTTTGAATCTTTTTAATATCGTCCATAAGTCTTTGCAGATCTTCATCTGGTAAAGTACCAAATGTTGGATCAGCCCCTCCGGTATTTATATAATGAAGAGCAACTTCTCTTCTTGCAAAGTTCCAATCTATCACTGCTTCTGACATAAGTGATGCAGTTGATGTTGGGGAATCAGGGGCTTTGTCATCCCCAGTAGGTGTCGGACTATTAGTATTTATCCTAAGTTCACTAAATTGTCTCGATTTAGCTCGTTCTCGCCTAACTTCCTCAGGGTTATTAAATCGAAATACATGAAAATCTCCGAGAATTATGCGATATCCAGATTTTAATCTTTTTAATTTGTTTATACGCATCCCGTTCACCATCGTTGTACTATTTAATTCAGGATGTAATGTTACGACACCATCAATATTTTCAAAAAAGCAATGTTCCTTCAAAATGTTTTCCCCACTTAAACGTATTTCGGGTTGTTTTTCAGAATCTAAATGACCAACACGAGTTTTACCGGGTTTAATTTGATAGACTAAACATTCTGACATAAGTGGGTCTTCATTAAGATTGACAAGATGTGGAACTTTTTTGGGAGGATGTACTCCTATAGAATTTTTTTCTACCATAATACCAAGTTCTTCCAATGTCTTTTCTCGTTCGCGTTGAATTTCCTCGGTCTTCCTTATCTTCTCTTGCCATGTTTCATTCACTTCTTCCATAAGTTTTTCTGATGCTTGAATTTGGTCAATCAATTCATTTTTTGTCTTTTTTATAGTATTTCCATTTGCATCTTTTAATGTTACCATTTCGCTTGAATCATCAGCGCTCATACTATGATCACGTTCGATATGTTCACCGTCTTTAATTCCAAGTTTGCTTCGTAACAATGACAATTCATCTTTAAGCTCACGAATAAGTTTCGCATTGGGGTCTTCATTGACAACTGCTTTATTTTTGATTTTCTTAGCAGCATCAGCATAACGTAGAGTACTAAGTGTTTCATCATAATCAGCCGGAGATATAGCCGCTATCATAGCAGTTTTAGAGTTACCACCTAAACTATCTTTTAATAACCAGGTTAAAATCTAAAGTTAAAAAGAAGATAAGATCTATGAATGGATTACCTCTTGGAGTTATCAATCATAATAATAAAATTTAATAATAATTAATAATAAATAATAATAGATATTTACAGAATCTCTGTATGGTACAAATGCATCTCCTTTTTTGCCTTTTTTACCAGAAGATTGCTCAGCAAGAGCAGCGATAACTTTTCCCAATGTAGTCAAGGATTTGTTAATATTAGCACCTTCCTTTAAACGTTGTCCCGTGGCACCCGTAGAATTTGCACGTTCTGAACCAGCCAAATCTACAAGACTTCCCAATGAAAAAATCAAAAAATCAAAATATTTGGTAAATAATAAAACATAAATCATAGAATGAATTAAAGATTAATAAATAAAGTCTATACCTTATGCGAGCAACCTTTTCTGTATCCATACCAGTTTCGATATCATGACGTTTTTGCGTAACCAATAAAGTAAATACAGCATGAGATCGACTTGAAGTTTCGTTCATATTAGTTGCAGCCACAGTTCTTGCCTGTGTTTAATATCCAATTGTAATTAGAAATATTTAAATAAAACAATAATAAAGTAATTAAAAACAATATATCAAATAAAATACCTTGTTACCCTCGTCCATCAAATTCTCGACATCTTGGAATGAAGTCACAATCAATTTTGACAAATCTTCTACATATGGCCCGAGAGCAGGATGTTCTCTTACTTTAAGATTTCCTTTGTTTTTAGGATTTAACAAATCCCTGACACGTTCATTGTAAATCTCGATATAAGAGACTTGGACTTGGTGCGTAACATTTTCATCAGTATTCCTATTAACGCGGTTAAATAATTCGCAACATGTAAGCGGAATAATGCCTTTTTCCTCGCCATAACCCATCTTTTAAAAAGAAAACATGTAAATATATTTAAGAAGAGAGAATCGAACAAATTGACATATCACCAAACGAATTTATATTATATATCATACAAATATTCATTTATTAATTACCATTGAATAAGATTTTCCTGCTCCAGTCTGACCATCTAATATATATATATATATTAAAAGGAATTGATACAAAATTAATTATAAATAATCGGGACTTAACAAAATTTTACAAAATTTTTTATTAATTTTAATAAACCAAATTTTATAAACAAACTTACACGCAAATATACAAGTATTATATCCTTCAAAAGCATGATTTAATAGTTCTTCTCCAAGGTCGTTATATAAATGTGCTTGAGTAGCATAATTGGAGTCATTTTTATCAAAAGACCAATAAGACTTATCAAAGGTAAATGCTTTGACGTCTTCACCATCTTTCTTTGCGTTTTTATTTCCGTCATTTATTTCTGGTCTTGTGATTATAGTTTGATTGCCTTCCATTCGGATGAGACATTTTGCCCCTCGGGCTTTTTCTGTTAAAAAAATATGAAATATAAGGTTAAATAAATAATAACACGAGTTTCTACTCTGGCTAATTTTATTAAATAATAAAGTAATACTATAATAATAAAAAAGTAAATTTTTCGTCAAACAGATCAGTCAAGTAAAAACCATCCCAAAATACCTCGAGAATTTAGAGGACGACATCTGACTACGACTTTAATATTTCCAGACATATTATTACAAGCTTATTTAATACAATAAGGTTTTTATCGAAAAAACGCTTTACAGTACTAGTAGGTCAGTGGAATTGAGAAAGATGAAAATAAAATTTGGTTTTTATAATAGTACAACTAGGAAAACGAACACGAGAAGGTATCTAAGGTAAGTTCTTTCGCGAATTAAAAAAGAATAAATTCAATATAACTTATAGCTAAGCGATTAATATATAATAATACAGTTAATATTTATAATTTAAAGTGGTGTTGGCAAAGCATATTGAAAATGGGAATTGCAAGAGTGCCAGGCCATGAATCACAAGGAAACCAAGAAACGGCGAAATTTACAATGTAAGTTGTACAAAAACACCATGTCACATGTAAATTAGCGATCGAAATCCTATTATCAAATTACTTATTGTTCTTTCGAGTATAAAAATTTGGTGATCAATTCAATTGAAAGGTGTAACCATATATATAAAACTTGAATTTAATTTTTCAATTTAAAAATAAATATGTGAACAAAGAAATTTATTCTAGTTTATTCTTCAAATTTTTTTTTTTTCTTTATATATTTTTTTTTTTTTTGCCAAACTTACAAGCAAATACAAAATGTAAATTTTTTTGATTGCAATACAAACAGTGTACGTAATACTGCAATTTATAATTGCAAATACCATCTTTAGCTTCATTAAATAAATATAATATTTAGATAAATTTAATTGTTGGTTCGTAAGTGATAAAAAAAAAAATTGAAAAAATTGAAGAATTGAAAATTAAAATTTGAAAAAAAAAATTGAAATACCCATATTTAGAAATATTTTAAATTCGTGATAAAATTTAAAAAAAAAAATAACTAAATTCATTTGAGTTATAATTTTGGTCTATGTAAAGATAAATTTGAATATTTTATTGCTATAGGTTAAAAAGAATTAAAATTTTCTTTAAAGATATTTTATTTGTCTTTCTGCATAAATTTAAATAGATTTTAATTTTCTATCCTTGTGAAATGTGATGTGGGGGTAATAAATTTTTCCAACGTTTTAACTCAAATTTAAAAAATAATTTAAAATCAGGAGAACATGATGAAAATGATTTTTTTTTTTGAAAGAATTACTACTCGTTGTAATCTAAAAGTATAGGAATTGAGTAAAGAGAAAAGTAAAACGGGAGATATATAAAAAAAAATTTTTAAATTTTCAAAATATTCGAGAGAGGAAAATCAATTTATTATTTCTCCGGCATTACACAAAATATTATTGGCCAGAATTTAAGTATATTAATTATACCATATATTATATCATATTGCATTATCATTTTTAATTGTGTCACGATTCGAAGTTGGCGTAACGCATATCAATATTGAAAGAAAAAAAACAATAGAAATAATTAAGACAAATTAAGAATTCCGGAAATCAAAAAGATTTATCAGTACATTTATTGTGTAAATCTTAACATATAAAAGATAGTAAAAACTAAAATGCTAACTTGACTTGAAATAGAATAAATAACAATAATAATAATAACAATGTTACTAAAAATTATTTACGTTTTGAGTCCACCTATTTACAATTTATATGCAATAAAAAGAGAATAAAAGAGAATAAAAAAAAAAGGTATAAAAGAATATTAAAAAGGAATGAACAATTATAAAAGAATATATGCGGGATATGTGTGAAATATGAGAAATATGAGAAAATATGCGATATTTGATATGTGAAATGAAGAGGAAAATAAATTAGATAAATGAGACCTAAATAAACTGACAAAATAATGATAAATTTATATTAATATATAAAGTGTATTTTATTAGAAAATATACATAAATAATAATGTTTTTTCTCCCAGACCATTTCCCGACCAAATCCCAAATTACTTCCAGAAAATTCCGTAACACCACAATTTATACTTTATTTGTTATTGTTATTTATAATATTAAGAAAAAAACGTATCTACCGTATTCCGTTTTTGTTTTTTCGATCCATTATTATTATTATTATTATTATTATTAAATGACGAATTTCTAGATGCTGCTGGTGATAATGTACTTGTGGTAGCATTATCATCGCTACTTCCGGCATATATCATATGAGAATATTTTACTACTGAATCATATTGTAATGCAATTATTAGGGTCAAACATCCAAAGGCAAATGATATATCATCAAGAATGCGTGTTATCCAGAAATTGTCAATAGTCGGTGGTAGGAATATCGTGAATATTGTATGAATGGTGATTAAGAGCAACGATAAGATCAATAATATTGTAATAATAGCTGACTATATCAAGTTATAAATTAAAAAATCAATAAAATTCATGTTTTAAATTAAAGTTATAATAATAAATTGTCATAATTACCTTGAAAATTTCTTGTTTCGTTTTTGCTTTTCGTATTCGAACATTAACTCGTGGTATTACAATAGTATGAAATGGTAAATGTTCATATTTTCTTGCCAATAACATAATAATTCCAAATACCGTGTATGACAACACCACGATAAATGTAAAGACTGATTCCATCACAATAAATACAAATTTAGATACATTTTTCCCTAAATTGATCGTTAAAGAGAACTCGAATATTATAAAAATAAATGACACAATTTTAATCAAGACGGCCAAAAATAATCCAATTAAGAAAACACGACTAAGTTTCCGAACTCGAGGTGCTCGGTAACTTAATTCTTCTGATATATTTCGTGTAGCTTTTATCCTAAAAAAAAAAAAGAAAAAAGAATAATCATTTAATAATGATCTTTATTTCAATGCGAAAACAATATAATCTTTACTTACCAAGGAAATAAGAAAATCGCGTAACAAAGGCACAAAATGAAATATCCTGACATTTGGATGGTCGCATATTCAAGTTCAGATAAACGATCGAAACGTATTAACCCCGGATCATATTCTAGTATCACCAAGAAAACTATAATAATAACAATAATACTTTATTTAATAATGAGTATTGATAACCAAGTATAATAAATATTAATTACTCACGTGCAGAACTTGAAATAACTCCCACCAATAACCATGGTCTCGGATTTGCCAATGCAAATCCATATCTGTATATACTCATCAACAAAATATATAATGATATTATTATTATACATCCGTATAGAATTCCAAAGATTATTGTCCATATCAATAAACCTTTACTATCGATTAATTGAATCCATGGTCCAGAATCTATTATAATTAATAGAATATAATTAGATCCATCATTTAGAAGACCAAGAAGAAAAATTATCAAATGAATGCTATAAGTTATAATTATTACCTGGAGTAGCTATCACGTAAGATGTTTTATTTAAAAGATCATTTACTTTATTGACATCTATCGCTTTAATTAAAATTAATGTAGGTGCAGCTTTAGAAAGGATTCCAAGGTTTCCATTATATGGTTCTCTTACTCCAGGATCACCTTTATTTGCGGAAGCGAAGATTACTATTCGCAAACTACACTTATTTGAAATGTCATGTGAGGTAAATTCATTCACGTGGTCCTCTCGATTTATTATTGTGTTAGAATTATTTGAATTAGCCTGATTTGTAGATGGTATTTGAAGCCATGAATTACTTATTGAAATAAGAAATAAAAACAAATTTTTTCATTTTAGATTTACAAATTAAATTTCCTATCTTGGAAAGCTATTAAATTCAGGTATGACAATTAAGAAATTGGTACGCTAATCTTTTTCTTTGTTATTACGTTATTAAAACTTTTTTATCTTACCTGCTAACAACATCTGCATAAGAAGTACAATCAGAATTATTCAATCCATCATTGAAAGGAACCAATAAGATAGAAGTATCATTTGGAATCGGTTTTAAAGTGCAAGGTTTTGACTTATCTCCAAGAAAAGATGCAACATTCAAACTACCATTTACGGGACTATCAAAATTACAAAAATTATTCACCCACATAAAGTCCACAATTGAAAATGTTCCGAGGGAAGAATTATTTGTATCATATAGAAATAAGCTCGCGTGACAGACTTGGGTGAATATAATAATAATGAAACAAACTAGAAGGACGCGTGTACATAACTTCCTCTTGTTGTTTGGACGGTTTATACGCCCGAACATAGCATGAATTATTAATGGCAAATATTACAATTTTGTTGGGTTTTTTAAAGTGAAAATTGTGTGTAAAAGATTAAGATCAACTTGGATATGAACACACAACACACCAATTAAACTTTAATAAAAGAAACATAAAATAAATGCCAAGTTCGGGCGTTAATAAAGAAAAGCGTCAAAAGTGAAGCATCAAAAGTGAAGCAAAAGTGAGGAAACCCAACTAATAAATTGTATCCGCAAGTAAAGAGGAGAAAGAGGCCAAAATTCAAAATTTATCTTGGGGAGTTGCATTTTTATAAACAATTCTGCAGATTAACTAAAATAGATGATTTCCTTATCATCATCGGACAAAAAAAAAATAAAACAATAAATATAAATATACTATATAATTTATATGAAATACAACTATAAAAGCTCATAATTTCGGAAGATTAAACCCGTTTAACCATTTTGAATCTACTTTTTTTGTTTAAAATTGTTACCAAGAGGAGAATTTTATTTATCAATTAATAAAATATTGCACATTTTTTTTAAATAAAAGGAAATCTGTAAAAATCCTATTTTAGGTATATTTAAGTAAGGAGCCTCATACACTATTAAACTATATTAAACAGTTAGTTTATACATCTCAACAATTATATTATGCCAGTAATGAATTTTAAATTTGGTGATGCAACTCGCGAATTAGATTTTGATAAAGAATAAATTATATAATTTAAATTCTTGATAAAAAAAGAATAAAGAAATAATAATAAAAATTTAATTTCATTAATATATGCTTTTTTTTTTACACCACATAAATGTTTAATGCCTAATATACTTATCTTGGTTTCTTGGTTTAATAGAATTGTTTATAATTTATTAAGAATTATTTAGAATTAAATAATATTTATAGTTTAAATGATATTTATAGATTAAAATTGTGGTGATCAAACGTTAATTTGAGTAATTTGATAAAACCTTTATTAGCTTTATTAAAATAAAGGAATAAACAATTTCCGCGTTCATAAAAAAAAAATTTCTTATTCATTATTCTCCTTCCTTGCATTATGAAACCGTAAAAAAAAAAATGTTCATGTATCTAATTTTTAGAAAGAATTTAAATAGAATAACTCGTAAAGTAAAATTATAACAACTAAATGCTGGTATGCCTAGAACTCAAATTCTCAATTCGAAAGAAATCACGTGTATATAATAAATTAGTAAATGATATCCTCCACACGATATGCAAAGTTTAATTAAATGCATATTTCATATTTATTGCTACCAGTGAACATAAAGATATTCAAACAAACTACCATTCGTGAGATTCACCTCTAAAAGTTTAGTAAGTTGTTACGTTACGGTTGAGAGAATATCGAGAATCGAAAATATCTAACAAAAAAGATGGATTAACATTTATACTAAGAAATGACAAAAATTCTTTTGTTGTCTCGATTTTTATTTAATTCAATAAATATATAGCAAATATCGAGTTGAGTTTCATTCAATCCAGTATCTGAACAGGAATTTTCACAATATGATCTACACAATCAAATCATTAAAAAGAAAAGAATGAAGATAGGAATAAACAATAAAAAAATTATAACAATAACAAAAAGAAATAAAGAAAGGCAATTTGCGTCTATCTGATTATCTATGCATAGTTTTGGGCTCTTTGTATTTGCATTCTTTTGTTTACAGATATGTTAAAAATAAATATTTTTAAAAGGAAATTATTGCACTTGACCAGATGACCCCTTAGTATTTATATATTAATTTATAATTTATAATCATTTGGGAGAAATCTCTGGGTGGAACTGCCCCTCTAATTTTTTTCTGTTTTAAATTAATTAGAATGACAATCGTACAATATTCTTTATAAATTCGGAATTCTAAATTTAAACCCGAATTCATTACAAATAAAGTAATTAATAGTAATTATTGTTAATATTTCCTTTTTTAAATTTAGCACCATCTTTGTTTTTTTATTTATTTTTTGCTCATGCCGTATATAGAAAATTTTTTAAATATTTTTAATGGAAATAATATAATTAGTGAGCATGAAAAAAAAATTTAATAAATAATACATCTTTGAACTTTCAATTCAAATTTATTTTGTTTTTTTTTAAAAAAAACAATTGACTTAATATTTTTAACATTCATCCTCTACCTCAAGTTGATTACTCAAAATGATATCTCGATCACCTCCATTACCAAAAAAAAACAAAACAAAAAAAGACCTTGAAAGGCAGAAACAAATCCTTAAATCTAGATTCCAAAATTATAAACTCATCAGTGACGTTGGGTAAGGTATCAACTTCAAAAAAATAAAACTTAAGACCTTACTGGAATGACCAAGTAAAGAAATGGTCTCAGAACGCGGCGGCCAAAATTTCTCTCTCTGGGGCCTCCATTATCCTCTCATCTGACCACCAACCTCTTCCTCCTTTTCGTCGCAATGTCAATAACACAAGGTATACCCTTGCAAACGAACTCCTTACAGTCGTGACACCAGAAACTGGTTCCCTACAACTCTATTCCAGATGAATGAATATGGATATATATCTTCATCTATTAAATGCAATAAAGGAGAGTAACTGTGTACTGAAAAGAACAAAAAATGAAAGAACGATTGATAAAAATATGAAGCAAAAAAAAAAAACAAAAAAATTGAAATAACTGTGAATTGAATATTATCAATTAAAACATATCTAAATCATTTTCAGAAAAAGTTTTGAAGAGATAACTTGAATTGATGAGATTTGCTTATAATAATGTTATTAGATAGAACAAAATCATCATTTTTGTCTAATAGTTCTAAACATTTTAAATAAATAAAACTTCAAACACTTCATGTATATGAAAAGAATATAAATTTCTTTAAACAGTTGTATAGCTAATAATAAGAAAGTAAATTTTTTAAAACAAAAATCAGGATTTTTTTTTTATTGAACTATTTTTTCAGGTTTTATCATATTCTGAAGAATATTTTTGAAATATACAAACCAAAATATATTTTATATAAAAATTTTGTCCTAAAATTGTTATTAAATAAAAGAGCATGAATTTTAAAGGTAAATGTTAAATAGTCAAATAATTGATAATATCATAAGTTTATATGTCAGTATAAATTTTTTGCTAAAATTTTATCAAGTACTAAAAACTAGAATACAGGCACAGGTATAAAATACAACAGTTTTAATTCAAGAGCCAAATACACCAGTATCTAGTCAAGAGCCAAATACATTAGTTTCTACCTAAGAATTAAATATACAAACACCAAATGAGTTGAAAGGTGACTTTATTTTATTTAACCTCAATATTAAACAATTAATCAAAAAAATTTTCTAACTGTTGATTTAATTTGAAAATAGAACTTAGTTTGAGAAAAAAAAATACTTTTTATTTATAAAGAAATAGATAATGGCTTCAAATTTTATAAGAGACAAACATCCTGATAATTGTTTCATCCAGATTGAACATCTCTATGTCAAATTATGGGTATGTCAAAAATCAGTTGATTTCTCTTTACTATAAGACCTATTCCAGATAATTAACAATCAATTCTGATTGGTTAAAAAATTTATCAGTAAATTTCAATAGACAATAATTAATAAAGAATTTTGCATTTTTGACTTCACTCCCAATTTGTGAAGTGTAAAATAATTTTTACTAATATATTTCTAATATAGAAAGAAAGATCTAGTTCTTGATTACATAATAATATGTGTTTCATTCTGTTATTATTATTATTTACAGAGTTGTTTACCTTTAAAGCTAAACATTTATAAAAAAATTCTGTTATAAATTCTAATCAGAATTATAAAAAATTTATAGAATAAATTTTTTATAAACATTCTAATTTAAACACAAATAATTTTACAAATATCAATAATACTGAGATGAAATGTTGTTAATTGAGATTTACCTTCAAAAGAATTTGATAAACTAGTAACTAAAAGTAGAAAAAATATATATAGCTAACACTGTATAGCTAACACTAAAACAACTATACTAAATATACTATTGTTGAACAGGTTATATTATAAAAGAAGTATAAATATGAAGGTTTTATTATTACGAATTTACTTGAAAGATGTTAAAAGGGATGAAATTTTTAATAAAAGATATATGTTATTAAGATAACATTTCACTAAGAAAAGTTACTAAGATAAGTTATAAAGATAAAACTATATTATATAAGTCACTAACACAAGTCAAATACAAAAGATATGCCATATCAAAAAAAGATTCCAATTTTAATTGATTTATAATATAAAATGCGATAGGACAGTCAATTAATACTGGTTTTTAGCTAATTTATAACATAGGAATCACCATTTGATATAGCAATTCTTTTGTATTTAACTAGTGTAAAACAAAAACTATAACAAATACTAGTTACAAAAGCAAGAGTAATTCATTAAGAATTATAACAAAGTTTCACACAAAAACTATATAAAAGACAGATTCACTAAGAATTTAAAAATGTCATTAAGACTAAAACATAATTCATACAGAATTGTAAATTACAAAAAATTTTATTAATTACAAGTTGAAAAATTGAAAACTGAGAAGAAAGGAATTCAGTTCTTTATATATATATTTGAAATTGTAATAGATTACACTGTAGACTACACTAATGCATATACTATTAATTATACTAATGTATATACTATCTATTATTATACGTGTTTATACGTGTTGCCCAAATCCCAAATTACTAGTATTTGAAATTTGGGATTTGGGATTTCGGCAAAAAATACTAATCATAATTTGGGATTTGGGATTTGGGATTTCGGCATTTGGGA